GCTGCAAACCCAACCTCCCCGGCGGCCACAACAGAACAGAACAGTGTAGTGGGCTCTGCAGCTGGACCATTCGACTCCTAGCTCTGCCCCTTTCCAGAACCTACTGCAAGCCTGGCACATGGGAGGGGCTTAATGAATATTTGCTGGATGGATGGATGGATGGATGGATGGATGGATGGATGCAGGAAGGATGGATGACCCTGGACATGCCAGTTTCCTCATCTGTAAAAGGCAGGTCACAATAACTACCAGGATTCAATGAGTGAGCACAGGTACAGGCTTTGGCCTCGTCCATGGCTGGCCCATTGTAAGCGCTCGCTGCACGCTGGCTGCCACTGGAATTACTAGGAGCTCAGGCAGGAAAGACAAAAGGCTTAGTTTACTGTGACTGTGGCCTGGTGATTAACTGCACACTCAGAGGATATTTTCCATGAGTTCCGTGTGGGGGAAATGAATATGTAAATCCCTTTTCCCGGCGCCTTCATGTTAAGCTCCAGAGAGGAGCAGAGGGGACCACAAATGTGGGACATTATGAAGGAGCAAAGCGGGTGGTGGTGGCAAGACAGAGACGCCCCCTTCCCCCAGGCGGCGGCTGAGCCCTTGGCCGGGGTCAGGGGCCCACTAACCGACAGTGTGATTGTGTGATTTGGGGCAATTTCCTCCCTGCTCTGGGCCTCGGTTTCCACTTCCCACCCTGGTGGACTCTGCATCTAAAACAGCGGGGACGGGTGAGGAAACTCCAGCTGCCTCCCACAGGCAGACACACACACATGGACACACACACACACACACACACACACACACGTCCTGAGAAAGCCCCCGGCCCTGGGCACCGGCCCCTGGTCTCCAGCCCAAGTGACCCTTGACGTGGCCAAACTTTGTGCCCGATTCTTTGCTCAGGAGCTAGGCTTGGTGAGTGCTGCTGTTATGAATGAATTCCTGCCGCCCGCCTCCCCCATCACACTGGGCGCTCTCCAAGAGAGGGCTGTGCTTCCACCGTCAGACTAGGGCATCTGGGGACCAGGGGTTGTTCTCTTCCGCCCTTTGCCTCCTTTCAGACCAGGAGCTCCTCTGGCAGGGGCTGGGGAATCCCTAAGGACAGGCCTAGGTGCCCCCTTTCTCTCTGCCCACTACCCCCAATAGCGTGCCCTGCTTGCGAGTCCTAGAGATGAGCCAGTGTGGAGCGATGAGTGTGCAGGTATCAGACTATTCAAAGTCATTACGGTTACAAAAGCTGCCTTTCGTCCTAAGCTGCCTTAGGCTGTTTTCCAAGGAGCTGCCCCTACAGGGGACAGAGTGGGCTGGGGTCCCCAGCCTCCAGCGAGCCAGCAGAGAGAGGCTGATTTCCTCTCCAGAAGGGCCCAGTGCACAAAGCTGGGACGGACACGTGCGGAGTGCCGAGTGCCGAGTGCCTGGCCCTATACGGCTGCCTTCGGGGGTGGCTGAGGGCTGGGCTAGGAGGGGACCAAGCCTCGTGGTTATCCAAACCTCTAGGAAGGCTTTACTTGTCTGAGTCAGCCCTGCCCATCACCCCCTAACCTGTGGTCCTGGCCTCAGTTTTCTCATCCGTGGCATGGGCTGAATGAGCTTTCCCCTCCCCCGAGCTGAAGGTACCAGCTTCCTGAGATGGTTTCCTCTTGCTGCCAACCGATCTCCAAAAGAGACCGTGAGTGTGGGCACTTCTGAGGCAGGAGTGTGAGCGGCTAGGAGCTCAGGCTCTAGAGACGAGGGCTGGATCCCGGTTATGTCCCTTAAATAGATGAGAAGACAGGAAACGCTCTGAGCAGGGTCTGGGTCACAGGGGCTCAGAAAGTCTAGCTGCCCTTGTCCATTTCTGCACAACACGTAGTGCGTGACTTGCTGTTTCCGGATGTGCATTGTCTGCCTGCCCTATGACACAGCCAGCTCCACAGGGGCCCGGGCAGGGCCTGCCCCCCTCCTGCTCCCTGGCCGATGCCTAGAGCAGTGCCTGGCACCTCACAAACACTCTGAGTCCGGGGCCAGGCAGAGCTGAGATGAGTGAGTGGCTTTTTGTGGACTTCTGCTGGGCAGCCTCTCTGAGGAGTCCCTGAAGCTCCCAGCACCTGCTTCCAGAGCTGGGTCTGAGACAAAGATGGGGGGGGCACCCCAGGAGGGGCACATCTTCCCCAGGCAGTAGCGAGCCAGCCAGTGTGACAAGCAGGTACTCAGCAGAGCCCCAACTTCATCCCCCAGCGCAATCCCCTCGGGCCAAGGCCACCTGGGCAGCAGCGGCAGGGACCTGCCACCCTGGGTGAGGGGACCTGTGCCAGCCCACAGCCCAGGCGGAAACCCCACCCCAGCGGGCCCATCATCTCCTTCTCTCCCAGGTGGGCTCCTCCTGTTGGGGAGACAGGACATGGGAGGTGGAGAATCCCTCCTCCTCCCCAAACCAGAGAGGCGTGTGAAGATGTCAGCGGGCTGCTAAGATGGAGGAGGGGCGTGCGGCCGCAGAGCGCAGAGATGCCGGAACTTTTGTACCAGACCTGAGCACCCCCTCGCCGCCCCCTTCCTTCAGGAAGTGTTCGCAGCTTAACCCCGGAGGGTCAGCGCACAGCAGCACGCACAGCAGCACACACAGCCTGCCCCCGGCCCGCCCTGCGCGCAGCCCCCTCTCCCTCCAGCAGCTGTTCACCTCCTGGTCCCCTCTGCCCCTGTCAGACCCTCCATCTGTCTTCACACCTTTGGTGGGAACCTCTGGGCGAGTGTCTGAAGTTCGCCCAATCCATCACGCCTCCAGCCTCTCCGCCCACCCCCGGAGCGGGGAGCAAGCTGCGGAGGGTGGGGCTGCATCTGGCTGCTCACGTGGGTGGGTCTGTTTCTCCTCTTCCCTCCCTCCCTGAGGTTCCTTTCTGAGCCCCAACGGTGCATGGAACATCCACACTGTTTAACAGCACCCCGCCCCGCCCCCCCCCAACCACTCCGCAAGGGGCCTGGTCTCCCAGTCTCTCTTCTGTCCTGTGGCAAGAGTGCTGCTTGGAGGATAAACCTCATCCCACATTGAGACCAGTGTGGCTGGGAAGAGCAGCCCTCAGGGAGACAGGTGCCCTGAACGCAGCCCTGGTCCTGCCAATGTGTCCTGGGCCCTCCGTCTGTCCAGCGAGATGGCTGGCCACGTCCTCTCATTGGCCCTCCTCCGATTCCCAAGCAATGCTCCTGTTTTGTTGAGGCCAGGCCGGCCCACATTCTCGGTGGATACCTCTCGTCTCTGCAGCATCCTCCCTCCCCCCACCAGCTCGGGGATCCTGTTGTGTCTATCTCCTGACTCTGGAGGGCGAGCTGGGCCAGTTAGTCCTTGGCCCTAATGAGACGGAGGTCATGGCCTTGAATCCCCAAGAGGCTCCACTGGGGAAACATCCTGGTCTGCAGGCTGCCTCACCCCCTACCGTGTGGGTCCCCAGGGGCTTGGAGCACCACCGTTAGGAGCTCTGCATTCAGCTGCATGTTTACCGGGCACTCAACTCTGCATGGACCTGGCTGAGGGCTTTACACAGATGGTCTCCCTTAATCCTCAAGGACCTTGGAGGTAGGTGCTGTAGTGTCCCCATTTTGTGGAGGAGAAAATCAAGGCTTAGAGAGGAGAAGGGAACTTACCCACAAGTAAATGATGGAACTACAATGTCATTAGCCCTGAACAACACACATTAATAGAGGCAAACAGAAATGAATCGAAAACATGCAGAGAATTAACGTTCTTGGAAATGTTTTAGATTAGCGGGAAGGGCTGTGTGCTAATAAAACTTTATTTACAAAAACAGGTAGCTGGATAGATGTGGCCAGGGGGTTGGGGTTGTAGCTGACCTCCCCTTTGGCCTCCCTTTTATTCCAGGCAACAGTTTCTATACTAATTACATTATCTTGGCAATGGCGGGGAGTGGGGGGATGGGACAGAGAACTAATGCTTCCTTGACCCTATTTGGTAACAGGCTCTGTGCCAGGTGCTCTGACCTATCAGCACGTGAGTGCGGAGACACCTTTCTTAGGTTAGTGCCACTCGGCTTGACCACTCTTCTGTTTAACAGGGGATGAGCTGAGGCTCAAGGATGCTACCTTGCCTGACACCTGGGCCGAGCAGCTGGCTTCAAACCCTTCCCGGTCTGCCCCTTTCTACTGCACTGCAGCTGCTCAGGTAAGTTTGTATCAGACCAGAGGGAGGTGTCTCAGAAGCGGGGAGGCAGGGTAAACCCGTCTTGGATTTAATCCCTTCCCCTGTGCACATCTATCCGAGAGCCTGCTGTGGCCACAAGCATGAACTCGCCAGTTCCGCAAACTCACTAGAACTTCCAGCATCACCTCGTCCTGTTCCCCGAACCCACCGCTAACCACCATCAGCCTCCGCATTTAAAGTCGGTCCCACGACTCCTAACAGCACCGCCAGGCAATGAGTGACCCAACCAGCAACCAATCACACGCGAGTGAACAGAGTTCTGAGACCCAACGGGAGTAGAGGGCCATGGAGCTCCCGGCCACATTCTCTCCACCAACAGGACAGGGTCCTGCCTTGCATCTGAAGGCCACTCCTGTGAGAGGCGGGAGATGGAGCACAGGAGGGAATCCAGGAAGGACTCCTGGCTCTAGAACAAAGCCCCAGCCACAGTCAAGTCCCCAGGAAATGTGCCCGGCTTCCACCAAGGCCCTGGCTGAAAGTGCCTGGCGTTCATGGCCTGAACAGCCATGAGGTGGGTGGTGGCCAGTCTCACAAGCTCTGGGTGGCCTGGCGCCAGGAGCAAGTCTATAGCACAGTATCTATTTGTTTCGGGGCAGGGAGGGGGACAAGAAGTATGGAAACTTGTTATGCAAACCCTTTCTCTACGTCCACCCGCTGGGCCACCCAGGCCTGCAGCTTGAGAAGACAGACCCAAGGTGAAGGAGTGCGAACTTTCTCCCCAGGGAGCACCAGCCTGAGTCACCCAGAGCCCTCGAAGGCTGGGCTGGTGGGCATCCGGCCACGGGGCTGTGGGCAGAGGGGCGAGGCCGCCTACCTGAGGAGACAGGCCGTTGCTGACGGGGTTCATGTGGTTGGAGGGCGCCGCCGCGTTCATGAAGCTGTCGGAGTAGCTGGAGAAGCTGTGGCGGGCTCCATAGGCGGAGCTGGTGTCCGCGGCTGCGGCGGCCACAGCCAGCCCCCCCTGGTGCATGGTGGATGGCGGGAGGGGCTGGGGCCGGTGCACTGTGCTGCCCCCATCTGTGGAGAGACCCAGGAGAGGGCTGAACAAGTGGCCTCGCCTGGAAGGGGGGCCTCCCAGGGAGGGAAAGAGCCTCCTGTTTGGAAAGCGAGCTGTGAGCCTCCTCCTCCCAGTGCCCATCCAGTGGAATGAATCTTCTCTTGAAACGGAACAAGCTGGCTTCTGGGCAGGGCACTAGGGACTGGCCAATCTGCACAGACAGCCAACCAACTTGCCAGGCCACCTCTAGGCGACTGCACCGGCCCTGCTGCCCAGCGCCTGGCACACAGTGGGTGCTCGCTCAGCAACTCGTCTGGACGGAGTCAGACCTCCGTTAACCTATCCAGGCATGTCCTGATAGCATTTTTCGAGTAGCAACCACCTGCCAGGTGCGTTTACAAACACTAAGGGTGTGAAGCAAGACCATGGTCCCATTTTATAGGTGAAGAAACTGAGGCTCGTTGGGGCTGGGGCACTTGTGTGAGGTGACAGGCTAGTGAGCGGTGTGGTCAAGGTTTGCACCGCTGTATCTGCTCCTAGCTGCTCGGCTGCAATTCCGCTCTGTCAGCCTTCCAGCGGACGGGACCATCATCCTTGGCAAAGGTTTAGTTTCTCATCAAGAACTCGAGAAGTTCCCCTGCTTCTCTCCTCAGCCTCCAGATATCCAGCCTGCCAGCCCTTTAAGAGGAGGCTACCGGGGCTTCATGAAGCAGATCTCAGGTCGTGGGATTCCTACTGTGTGCTGGCGGGGGGGGGGGGGGGGGGTGAGGGCAAGGGGAGGGCAGAAGCGGAGACAGCATCCAAGGAGGGGGGGAGGAATCTTTCTCCTCCTGCAAAGCTCACCTTCTCTTCTGCATCTTAATAGGAAGACCCAGGAGATTCCTGCGACTTAACAGGTTGAGAAGCTCTGCTCTGGATGTGGACCTGGAGGTGACCCTGTTAATCCTCACTGGATGCTCCGTGGCAGAGCCAAGAAGTTCAAGGGCAGGACCTCACCTTTTTGTCTTAATAGTCTGCCCTTGTGGAAGCTGGCAAGTGGTCATAAATATACAACCCTTGTTATTCCTTCTTTGTTAAGGAAGGAACGGGTGGGCAGAGGAGAGAGGGCCAAAGGGCACGGCTAAGATGCCAGGATGGGGCGCGGGCACTCACCTTGGGAAATGGTGGTGGTGGGGTAGGTGGAATCCGGCAGCTGGTAGGGGGGCAGCGTGGGCATGCCGGTGGGCGGAAAGCCCCCGGGCAGAAGGTGGTTGAACGCTGCCAGCTGATTGGCTCCTGCCTGCTTACGCCAACGCGCACGGCGGTTACTGAACCAGACCTGTGGGGTCGAGAGTGGAGAATGGAGCCCTCAGCCTGGCTCCTGGCAGAGAGCTGAGACTTAGCTAGAACAAGGCCACCCCGACCGTCTCCCCCTCTCCCCCTCCGCTGTCACCCTCCGTCCAGGCAGCATCCTCCCCCAGGAGGACATCCCCACCTTTCTGTGCTGGGGACAGTTTGCAGAGAGCTGTCCTGGGCACGGTCCCGTTCTGTCCTCATGACCTCCCACAGGGGCTTATGATCATTACCCCCATTTTATAGATGAGCAAACTGAGACCCAGAGAGAGTGAGTGACTTGCCCACGTGACAGGCTATGTGACTCTGGGTACAGTGCTCTTTCCATTGCAGCTGCTCCTGCCCAGAGGGATGGCAGTGGGTAGACTGTCCTTGTTCCCACACACCCAGCTCCCACCTCCTCCAGGAAGCCCCCAAGGGGGAAGCCACGCACCCAGAACCCACCAGAATCCAGGATGAGACCAGATGAAAACCAGTTCTTTGTCCGGAGCCTGAGGCCCTGCTTTGCTTCTCCGGCACAGGCCCCCTTGGCTGGGGAAACCACCTCCCACAGTCACGGGGGTCTGTGAAATAGGCATCAGTGGAAAACTAACCTAACATCTCTGCGACTCCCTTTCCTCCAAGCCCTGTGCTGGCGCTTCACCGGTCTGTCCGTACACGGAACCACGAACCATGTCCTCCTATTCCCATTGCACAGAAGGGAAAACGGAGGCTCACCGAGGTCAAATAACTTGCCAAGACCACACAGGTGCATCTAAGGTTCCAACTTAAATCAGCCTGACTTTCCAGAACCCACTTATCCGAATTTGCGCAGCAAGATCTGGGCTGGGCCAGAGAAAGAGAATGAGTGCGCCAAACAGGGGCTGCTCTACGGGGGCTCATCTCTGCCTTTAAGCTTTGCACATGCTGTTCCCTCTGACTCAGCCTGCAGGCTCAGCTGAATCGTCTCCTCCGACTCCAATTCCTTAAGTTCAAGCAGGTGCCGCCTTTTCTCAGAGACTCACGTGTGTTTCCTCACAGTTTTCCTATTTACTGTGGGTGTTTTTTTGACGATGCTTCTCTTCGTTCCTCAGGCTCCAGGTTCTGTGGGCAGAGGCCCTGCAGCCCTTGCTCAATGCTCACTGCTCTGTAGGTGCTCACCCAATACTCGTTGCATGAATGAATGAATGAATGAATGAATGAATGAATGAATGAACGAACGGACGAACGAACAAACAAGGGAAGGAAGAGAGGACTTTGCCAGGACTGGGGCCACAGGCTCAATTGGGAGCCCCTCCTTGCAGGGTGAAGACCCCAGCCTTCCCTGGCATAGGATCACTGAGACGCCCTGACCTCCAGACCACACCTGCTGATATGCCAGCTGGAAGGAGGGGTCTTATGTGTCCCTGGTGTCGCTTGTCTTTTCTCCCAGGGGAGAAACGGGGGTCAGCTTTCTAAGCTGGTGGACAGAGCAGCCGGTTCCCACCAGCGCAGGATTCACAGAGAAAGGAGTCGGGGCCGCTAAGTCAGGAGTGAACACTGGCACCCAAATAAAACCGAAGTCCCGACTTCTCCCCTCCCCAGGGCACCGAGGGCTCCCCGGGGCATCCTGTTTCCTGAGCTGAATATTTCATCTGGCCCCTTTCTCGATGCAGCACAGACGAAAGGAACATGATGGGCAGACTTGGGTTCAAGTCCTAGCACAGCTGCCTATGAAGTGCGTCTTCAGGAAGTTACTGCTCTTAGCTAAATCTCAGATTTCTCACCTGCCAACTGGGGAGACTAATCCTCCCTCCCTCCTAGGATTATGGTGAGGATGGTAAAGATAATGTATGTAAAGTGTTGAGCATTGTGCCTGGCATCAAAGTGCATGAGACATGGGATCTAGTGTTGTGAAAAGATTTGGTTTAAGTTGCTAATTAGCGAGTCCATCTAGAGCAGTGGTTCTCAACCTTCCTAATGCCGCGACCCTTTCATACAGTTCCTCATGTTGTGGTGACCCCCAATTTCATTGTTACAAATTGAACATAATGAAAGCATAGTGATTAATCACAAAAACATGTAATTATATATGTGTTTTCCGATGGTCTTAGGCGACCCCTGTGAAAGGGTCGTTCGACCCCCAAAGGGGTTGCGACCCACAGGTTGAGAACCGCTGCTCTAGAGTCTAGACCAGCCGTGGGCAAACTACGGCCTGCGGGCCAGATCCGGCCCGTTTGAAATGAATAAAACTAAAAAAAAAAAAAGACCGTACCCTTTTATGCAATGATGTTTACTTTGAATTTATATTAGTTCACACAAACACTCCATCCATGCTTTTGTTCCGGCCCTCCGGTCCAGTTTAAGAACCCATTGTGGCCCTCGAGTCAAAAAGTTTGCCCCCCCCTGGTCTGGAGCCTCCAAAATGCGATTCAGCTCGGGGCAGCCTTGGGGTCTAGAAGAAACACGGGCTCGGGGATCTTGGCAACAGGACACAATAGATTTGTTTGCCTCCAGGAAGATGTGCGCCAGGGTGGGGTCAGCCTCCAGCTGTTTAAAAATGAAGATTGCTCCAGAGGAGGTTACTGGCCCCCAGGCATGTGTCCTCCTGCCTGACACCCCGTCCCCCACCACCCCCCCTTCACCGTGGCCGAGACAGGGGACTATCATAATGAACCCCCACTTATGGCACTTCCGTGTGCTGGCCACTTTCTGTGTGTGTGTGTGTGTGTGTGTGTGTGTGTGTGTGTTTCCATGTCATCATTTCATCCTCAGACCCTATTCTTTCATCTCCACTTTGCAGATGAGGAACCTGAGAGCGAAGGGAGTGATTGATGGAGCTGGAATTCGCACCGAGGCCTCTGTCTCTGAGACGACTCAATCACTCCACTCTCCCACCCATCTCTCAGGGCACTGAGGGAAGAGGGCATGAAAACTGGTTGCCAAAGGGAGGGGGGCTGGGGGGCTGGGTGAAAAGGTGAAGGGATTAAGAAATACAAATGAGTGGTTACAAAACAGTCCTGGGACGTAAAGTTCAGCATAGGGATCAGAGTCCATAATATTGTAATAACCATGTATGGTGCCAGGTGGAGACTGAAAATACGGGAAAATTCTTTGTAAAGGATAGGACTGTCTAAGCCAGGGGTGGGCAAACTTTTTGACTCGAGGGCCACAATGGGTTCTTAAACTGGACCGGAGGGCCGGAACAAAAGCATGGATGGAGTGTTTGTGTGAACTAATATAAATTCAAAGTAAACATCATTACATAAAAGGGTACGGTCTTTTTTTTTTTTTAGTTTTATTCATTTTAAAAGGTCAGGATCCGGCCCGCGGGCCGTAGTTTGCCCACGGCTGGTAAGCACTACGCTGTACACGTGAAACTAACACAAAATAATATTGAGTGTAAACTGTAACTGAAAAATAAAATTTAAGTTAAAAAATCCATATGATTGCAAAATCCCTGAGCCATAGACTCTTAGAATCAGACGCCGAGACCTCAACAGTCTAGAGCAGCAGTCTCAACCTGTGGGTCGCGATCCCTTTGTTAGTTGACCGACCCTTTCACAGGGGTCGCCTAAGACCATCGGAAAACACATACATAATTACATATTGTTTTTGTGATTAATCACTATGCTTTAATTATGTTCCATTTGTAACAATGAAAATACATCCTGCATATCAGATATTTGCATGACGATTCATAACAGTAGCAACATTACAGTTATGAAGTAGCAACGGAAATAATGTTATGGTTGGGGGTCCCCACAACATGAGGAACTGTATGAAAGGGTCGCGGCATTAGGGAGGTTGAGAACCACTGGTCTAGAGCCATAAAACCGAAGCAGTGCTCCGGTGGCTTCGCGCTCCTTGCCACACTGCCCATGGCAGAAACCCTCTCTGGGGTCTCTGATAGACAGAATGTGGCACTGCTGCTTGATTGCTTCAGGTAACAGGGATCTCATCACCTCTCAAGGCAGCCCTGATTGTCGGTCAGGATCCTGGAACTTCAAGGGGGCCTTAGTGACCGTTTCGTTAAATTCCTTTATTTACAGATGGAAAATTAAGTCTCAGGAAAGGAAACTGATTTGTTAAAGGTGCTGCCGCTGATCAGAGGCAGGAGCCCAGGGGAACCTAGACCTGGGGCCCCCAGTCCTGTGCTCTCGCTTCTACCGACCTTTTCATGGGACTCGGGACACCTCCCTACCGGTCTGGTCCTACCCTGGGGGCCTCTCAAAGCAGAGCAGCCATGTCCTCCAAGTCTCCTCTTCTCCAGGCCAAATGTCCCATCATTCCTGTCTCCATTTTTGTTTGTTTGTTTTGTTACCCTTTGTTCATTCTTTAAAAAAAAAAAAAAAACCATTTCTTGTTCTGCCCTCTGCAGGGAAAGCTCTCAGGCTGGGAGCTCACAGCCTGAGGGGGACCCCGACCTGCCCAGGGGGAGCCCAGAGTCTGATAGGGGAGTCAGCATGTGGAGGATGTCTGCCTGGGCCCCTCACTCTGGGTTTGTCTGTTCCCCCTCTTCCCAGCCCCCTCCCTCCCTCCCTGGACCTTGAGTGACACCTGTTTCTGGGTCCCCTGGGCCAATAAAAGCACTGCCCTGACAGCCAGGGGATTTTACAAGCAGCGGCCAGGCTTCAAGGTGGTGGGAAGCAGCCGTGGCCCCCAGACGTGGGAATGAGAAAGCACCGAGGAATGTGCCCGAGAACAGCTGCAGGAGGATCAGAGGGGAGGGAGGCCGCGGGGGCAGGCTCGGGTATCGCCCGAGAACAGGGGAGGCGATGAGATGAGCTGGCTGCTGCCGCCTGCCCTGCCCCTTGGGTCTCTCTCAAAGGCAGCCAAGCCCCCTCCCCCACCACCGCAGGAGTGGGGGTGGGGGCGTGGAGGGAGGTACATTGGTTCCCGGAGTGGTTAAATGCCACTTTGCTTCTAGAACTTTCCCTATTGCTTTCAGATTCCAGCTCTGACTTCGTTTCTACTTCCTGGATGGGAAGAACCTGGTCTCTGGGTGTCTCCAGGCCCGGCTCAGCCCCGATCCAGCTCTGTGCCTCTGGGCATGCCACTTCCCCAGCCTCAGCTCCTGCACCCACAGCTTGGGGGTGACCATGCCAACCCTGACACGGGGTCTGAGGCTCCACCAGGTCATGCACGAGAAACCCAAGCCCTGTGACTGGCACAAGGTGGGTGCCCAACGAAGGCTGGTTAGCCTCGGATGGAAGTGCCCCCAGGGAGCAGCTTGGGGTGACCCCTCTGCCGAACTGTGCCCCCCATTCAGGGAGAAGACAGGCCAGGAATGGTTCCCACGGGAGCTGTCCCTCATGACCTCCTCCTCCACCCGGCCTGAGCCCTCCCCAGCAGGCGGACACTTGCTGCACTCGGCGGCGAGGCCGGCACCCCAGTAGGCTCTGCTCTTTCTGCACGCCCCCTCCTCCACCCCTGCTGGTTAGGGACCTGACACTCGAGGGCATGAAGGGGGTTAGCCACCCTCTTCTGATGTTTCTAACCCACCAGGAACCCACAATGCCTGCCCAGTCTGCTTGCATGCTTCCCATAACAGGAAACTCATTACCCATCTTAGGAAGCTAGGCCTGTTCAGAAATTTTCCTCCAAACTACTTTCTCCCCTCATCAGAGACTTGGAGATTTTTGTTCTCTCTGAGTCCTCTCTTCTAGCTGAGCTACTGCCCTTCCTTCTTCTCTTCCTTCCTTCTTCCTCCCTCCCTCCTTTCCACCCTTTCTCTTTTTTAAAATATATTTTATTGATTTTTTTACAGAGAGGAGGGAGAAGGATAGAGTTAGAATCATCAATGAGAGAGAAGCATCGATCAGCTGCCTCCTGCACACCCCCTCCTGGGGCTGTGCCTGCAACCCAGGTACATGCCCTTGACCGGAATCGAACCTGGGACCCTTCAGGCCGCAGGCTGACGCTCCATCCACTGAACCAAACCGGTTAGGGCCCTCTCTTTCTTCCTTTCTCTCTCCTTCCCTTTTCCTTTCTCCCTCCCTTGAGCTCTTCTCTTCCTCTGCATCTCTCCCTCCATCCCTCCTCTCATCTTTTCTTTAAAGTACTTGTTGCCTGGAGAGATGTCAGCAGGCCTCGCCACAGCTTCCGGCTTCCCCCTCCATTAGTCAGTCAACCAATGCTTGCTGCCCACTTCCTCTGCATCGATTGCTGGTGGCATTATTGGTCTACAGGGTCCTCAGACCACTTAATGCAGAGCTCCCCGGGGGCCCAGCGAGCCCTCAGACCCTGGCCGCCCCACTTCCTTAATTCCAGCCTCTGGGTCAGGGCCGCAGTGCCAACCCGAGACGCCTCCTCACCTGGACGCGCGCCTCAGTCAGCTTGGTCCTCTGTGCCAGCTCCTCGCGGGTGTAGATGTCCGGGTAGTGCGTCCTCTCGAAGGCCTTCTCCAGCTCCTCCAGCTGTTCGGCCGTGAACGTGGTCCGACTGCGGCGCTGCTTGCGCTTCAGGGGGAGGTCCGGTTCCGACTCCACGTCTGAGCCCTCGTCCAGCCGGTTCCCTACGGCCAGGCGAGAGGGAGGGAGAGGGCGGCCTGGTGAGATGGAGGGGTGCGCTGGGCCCCCCTTCCAGCCCATCACGGCACCGAGGGAGCATCCCCCTGGAGCACCGGGCACTGTTTATCAGAAGGAAGAGTGGGAAGCGATCCCATGCCCAGCCCTGGGGGACTGGCTCAACACTTCACGGCACAGTCATTCCTTAAAGACGAGACTCCCCTGCAGTCGGGCACTTAGGTTATTTCCACGGACAGGAAGGGTGTGGTGACATAGGAGGCAGGGGGTGGTTTCATGATGAAGAACATCATGAGGATTTCTAGAACCACATTCCCCGAAAAGGAGATAACTTTGTGGCGTATTAACGACCCCGGAATAATCCTGACGCTAAGAGAAAGGGCAGGTACACACCAGCGTACAAAGATCAATCCCCCTGTGGGAAAGCACGTGGGTGGCACGTTATGGAACACCAAGTCCAAGATCAGCAGGTGTTAGCCTCTGGGTGGCGGAACTTTTGTTTTTCTTCTTTATACTTGTTTATAGTTTAGTACTTTTAAAATGACAACCATTTAAACAACGATGTTATTGCATTTGGGGGAAAGACTGCAAAAATGGAGGAAAAGAGAGAGGCAGGAAGGGAGGGAGGGAGGGAGGGAGGGAGGGAGGGAGGGAGGGAAGGAGGGAGGGAGGGAGGGAAGGAGGGAGGGAGGGAGGGACAGAGGCAGCAAATGCAATAGTGTCTCGTCTCTACCCCTGTTCTTAACCCAATTGCTTCAAATGTTGGTTCTGTGAATAGGCAGAGGGTCCTCCCACAAGGGACAACCCTCCCACCCCCACCCCCACCCCCAATAACCTCAGGCAGCCTCTTAGATGTCACCTGGAGGTGAGGGAAAGGCATCCAGGCAGAGGGGAGAGTGCGGGCAAAGGCCTGGCCTGTCAAAGGGCACGAGGGGTCGTGTTTTCATGGGGTAGTGCCCTTCCACCTGCGTGCCCTCCCTCCATCCTGCTGCCTTGGCCACTGGACAGTCATGCCTGCTTTTGATCGGTCACTGCCAGGCTGTCCCTGATTGTGACAACAAGGGAACCACAGGCAACGGAGCCCTCCCTTCATCGTGGCCGGCCTCGTTCCTGAAGGCAGAGACTAGGGTCGGATCCATCCCCCTCACCCGCCCTTTCCCGGCTGCCTGTCAACCCGTCACTGAGAGGCGGCCACGGGGGGCACAGCTGGCAGCCGGGGCACCTTCCCCAGCACGTCTGGGGCTCAGAGCCAAAGACAACTAATCGCAAGGATTCGTTTCCTGAAACTCACTGCGTAGCCTCAGTTTTCTGACAGCGGCAGGGAGAGGGAGCCCTCGGAAGGAGGTAGCAGGGCGTGGCAGGCAGGCAGGCAGGGAGGAGGCCCGCCCGCAGGTGAACGGGGCACCGGACTCCCCCCTCCAGTGGGGACCAGGAGCTGAGTGCGAAGGACCGGCGGCCCTGTCCTCGGAGACACCCCAGTCTGACTCAGCCTCAGTTCCGTCCAGAGCCACGCTGTCCAGCAACGCCGCGATGGGGGGACGCTCGGACCTGCGTGCTTCCACATGGTGGTACCAGCCACGCGGGACGAGCACTGGACACGTGTCTAGTGCAACTGAAGAACTGAATGTTCCCTGTTATTTCACTTTCATTCACATTTACGCAGCCAGGTGTGGCTGGTGGCTACACACAGGACAGTACACATTTAACACTGCTGTTCTCTCTTTCTAACAAGGAGAGGACCCGCCTCTAGTAGAATTAACAACATTGTTTTCATGGTTCCCACCGATGTATAGGACATGATACTCATTTTCCAAGCACGAGAGCATTCGTTTCCTTGGATTCCGTTGTTTAAGGTGCTTTCGTATCAAGTAAATTTTTAAGGAAATAGGAGAACAGGCCCTGGGGCTGTACCCAAAAGCATGAATGCAGTTAGCAACTGACCGGCCGCGGGATGCATTCAAGGTGCTTCCGACACTGCCCTGCCCGGCCTCAGTGCCCACGCGGGCCCCGTGTGCATCCAGGGCCCTGGCCCTCCAAACTCCGGGCAGCCTTCTAGGCTCACCGTGGAGTCTGAGTCTCCTTCCTCCTCATCTCCCTGCTCCTCCCACCCCTTGTTCAGCACAGATCTGGGGTCTCTGGGGGCCCAGAGAGCTGCCCAGACCAAAACCAGACTGGGGAAGGTAAAGCAGGGCCCTCAGGCCTCTTGGTTGAAAGGCTCCTCTAGGATGTTGACGGTTGCCATAACAACTTCCTGGCTGCTGAGTGGGGAGAGCAAGGCTCTGTTCCACTAGCCAGAGATGGAGAGAGGCCGAAGGGACCTGGACTGTGTGACTCCAGGCCTCCGCCCTGGCCCAGCCCAGGGAAGACAGCCTTCTTGGTCTGTGCCAGCTCCACAGCCGGTCTGGGCTTCTGGCGCTTTTACAAAGAGGGGAAAAGGCTCAGAGAGGTTCAGTAACTTGATGGAGGCCACACAGCCTGAAGTCCATGCTCACTCCTGGAGAAGGAAGGGGAAGAAGGATAGGTTGGGGGGAGTGGGGGGCCGTCTGGGGCAGCTCTGGTCTAGTCAGGAGTCCTGGTCTGGAGGCCTGACACCCGGATGCTGGGCTCTGTCTTTCCCTCACTGTGTGGCCTGGGATCAGTGGCTTCCCCTCTGGACCCCGGTTTTCCCAGTTGTGAAAATGAAGATGATGATATATGCCCGCGGGCCCCACGGGGCTGCTGGGAGAATGGAATGAAATGAAGACTGCGGGATCATCTGGAGCCGTAGCGGGGCACGCACATGAAGGCTGCTGCTGCTGATGATGGTGATGGTGACGGTGATTGCAGGAAGGGTAGAGGGTGGGTGCAGGACCAAAGCAGCCTGAGAGAGGGGGGCTCACTCACAAAGAGCCCTGATGCCACCCCCCGCCCCGCCCTCGCTTCAGTTTCCCCAATGATGCTCTCCCCGCCTCTGGAACCCATTAGTCTCAGAGTTAAATTAATCAACAGGATTAGGTGGACTTGGCCACAGAGAGGCCCCGATGGCTGGGGCTGAGTCCTCCACGCAGCGAAAGCCTGGGCAGCTGGCACAGGGAGGGGCTGTGGGCAAGTGGACATGGGAGCGCATTCATTAAACGGAAGCTGCACAGAGGCGGGCAGGGGAGCAGCGTCCTGGCCAGCTGCAGCCCTGTCTCCTGTCTCCAGCAGCTGTGCGACAGGAAGATTCGAGGAGGCGGGACAGGCTGGTGCTGGAGATAGGACCCGAGAGAGAGAGAGAGAGAGAGAGAGAGAGAGAGAGAGAGAGAGAGAGAAGAGATGGGGAGGGACCCTCCTGGGTTCCCGGGTCCTCTCTCTGCTTAGGGGTGTGTGGAGTCCCATACAGAGCAAGGAGAAAAACCAGCCCCACCGTGGGGCCCTCCCAACCTTTTGGGGGGAAACAGCCTCTGTCTTAGGAAGCCCAGGTGTGAAACATGTGACCACAGAACAGCCCGAGGAGCGAGTGAGGGACGGGGGTGGGCGGGGGGGAGGGGAGACCCTAAGGGTGGGCAGGATGAGGTCTGCTCGGGCAGAGGCCAGCCCAGGCCAGGCTGCTGGAAGTGGGGAGCATATGGCTGGGCAGCCCCACAGCCCCCACCCCAGCCTCCCCCTCCTCTGGAGAACACCAGCTTTCACAGCCACTGACCCCGGAAGCCTCGATACGCCAGCGAGGCCCCACCACACACGCCCTGCCCGTGTCCGACGCACCCTGCCTCTCCACGTGGTACCGTCCAGCTCTCGGCCTCCGAATATGACCGAGCCAGGCCGTCTCCCACGCTCCAGCTTCTGAACGGGAGTCCTCTGCTTGGAACACCTTCTCACCACCAGGAGCCACCTGCTCAGCCAGCAGAGCCCAGCTCTTGGGTGCTCCCGGCACGACTTCCTGGGCCAATACTCGGGGCTCTCCAAGCTCATTGGGAGACACCAAACTCGCCTTCTCTGGGTGTCTGGGCCCCACTGCACCAGGAGACCCGTGACTGCAACAGGGACGGTGCCCGCACACAGCAGGTGCTCAATAAAGGCTTCTCGGATGAATAGGGCTTCAAAGGACAATGGCAAAGTTTCTTTGAAATACTCCTGCCTCAAGGCAACAGTCAGCACCTAAGCTTGTGCACACATCCTACAGTGCACAAGCCTTTCATTGACCTGACACGGTTTGTCCCCTTAGCCCCGGAGGGCCAGGGCGACAGGAGTAGCCCCATTTTCCAGATGCTCAGTGGAATCCCAGGGGAGTGGGCCTGGGAGGGAAGCCCAGGGCTCAGGACTCCCAGCCCAGCGACAGTCGACTTCGCTGCAGTGAATTCCCGGGGATGGAGGATTACGTTTCTGATCATGGAAACCAACCCTGGTGGCTGTTCTCCATCCCCGCCTTCCAAGCCTTCCCTGTTCTCTCTTTGCCCAAAGAAAAGCCTGGAAATGAGATGGTCACAGTTTCTGGACCTGCAGGAGGGAGTGGACCCATCTCCAAATCCTCGTCAGAAATTCTGGACCAGCAATGGCCTTACAGTGTGGGGTCCTTCTCTCAGACCCCCCACCCCCACAGACACCTTCCCACTCCTGTTCCTGCGCTCCCATCCCTGCCGCCTCCCACCCCAGCCTTTATTACAGTTTAACATAGGCCGGCTCGAGCTGCGGCAGAGAAGCGAATCACATAATAGTTGATATGCGTTTTAATCAAGTAATTCGGGCAGAGCCGGGAGCTGGCGAGTGTGGACCGGGCGTCCCTGAATACCAAACAGGCCTGGGCGCAGGTCTCAGCAAATGGAAAAGTCATTTACAGCTCAGCTGGGGGCCCGGACAGCCAGGGCCAGCCGGCGCCCTCCTGCGCGCCCCTCCCTGGAACCGCTCAGCTGTAACCGGCGTGTGGTGCGTGCATCTAGGTAATGTCTGCAGGAGCCCACCCCCACCTCACCCGCACACAGGGCCGGGCGACGGGGACCAGAACGAGAGGCGGGGCTCGAACCCCAAGACAGAC